GGTCAGCGGAGAGGAAAGGCACCGATCTGCAACAGGCAGGGTGCATTATTGACAACTGAGAAGGAGCAGGAGGAAAGATGGGCGAAGCACTTTCAGGAAATACTTAATAAGGAGGCCCCCGAGGAGCTAGCTACTCCCCAGGATGCTGAAGAAGACCTTGACATAGGCATCGAACCACCTACTAAAGAAGAGATTATGGCTGCCATCAGAGATCTTAAGAACGGCAAAGCACCTGGACAAGATCAACTTAATGCTGTGCTCTTCAAGTGTCATTCAGAGCTTGCAGCAGGATACTACTCCCACTCTTTGCTAAAGTATGGAATGGTGAGGGAAGTGACTGGAGCAAAGGTTTCATCATACCAATTCCTAAAAAGGTACACTGCCTGATTGTAACAACTGGCGGGTATCACACTATTATCCTTACCAAGCAAAATCTTTTGTCAGTAAGGTCATTGTAAAACATCTCTCTTTGGCGGTCAAACCAGAGAGGAAAAACCGGTTTCAGAAAAGGTAGAGGCTGCATAGAACACTTCTTTTCCTTGAGAAACATCATTGAATAGTGCCATGAATGGCAGAGAAGATTGTATGTCAATTTTATAGACTTTAGGAAGGCCTTTGATAGTGTTCATAGAGAGACAGGGCATGACATACCTGAACACATCGTTCGAGTAATTAAGCAATTCTATACTGACTTCCAGCTCCACTGCCCATTAAGAGTGGACAGTTACACCTCAAAACGACCCAACAATTCACCTATTTGAGTAGTACCGTCTGCAGTGATGGGATGGGGGGCTGACCTGGACATCCGGCAGAGGATTGGTGAGGCTAGAGAGGCCTTTGCAAAATTACGACCCGTGTGGAGGAGCAGAAAGTACAGCAGAAGAAAGAAGATTAAGATCTACCAAGCTTGTGTAATCTCTGTACTACTTTATGGATCGGAATGTTGGAGAATGACTGTGCATGATCTAAAGAAGCTGCAAAGCTTTCACACATCTTGTCTTCGAAAAATCATGCATATCTTTTGGCCTAAAAAGATCTCCAACAATGAACTCTTCAGGCTAGCAGAGCAGGAGGACATGGGTATTGTTCTTACACCGAGACGATGGACATGGATCGGTCATGTGCTCCGTAGAGAATCTACTAACATCTCTAAAGTGGCCCTCAGATGGACACCAAAGGGTAAAAGGAAAAGAGGCCGCCCGAAATCCACCTGGAGGAGGACTGCTGAGGCAGAACTCAAGTCTCTGAACCTTAACTGGGGGCAACCTTCAAGGCTTGCTATGGACCGACAGGAATGGAGGAAACTTGTTGATGCCCTATGCGCCACCTGGCGTCCAAAGGACTGATGATGGTGATCGTAATTATTATGGTAGACCATCTGGCAACTGACATTATGCCATCACTTGAGAAAGGCTACTGGAAGGCTCTGAAAGCTACTGTGATTCTTGGG